TTGTTGTGGTGGGTGGGGGGGGGGGGGGGGCGTTTCTACAGAATGGGTGTGTCATGCTTTGTCTTATATTACTCTTATACAGACTATAATATCAGAGTAGCAATATCATAACAAAATCATCAGTAGCAATACTTTTTACTGATGGTTACCAAAATGCTCAACAAGTGAAGATCCCCATGGCTGAAAAATGTTGTCAAATAGAGGAAGATAGCTCTAGATAGTTCAGTACTGATAACTGGGTAGCGTACAGTTGCTTTAGTCTAAGTCCAGTTTGGGCATCCTATTCCTAAATGAGCTAATGAAAAATGACTGTTTGACATTCCCAAAAGCTTCCTCTCATCAGCATTCAGCGTTCCACACAGTAGTATGAGAAGGGAAGAAAACAAACAGAAAACAACAACAGCAGACAAAAGAGAACTGTTAAAAAAAGAACAAAAATAAACAAAAAACCCACAACAAAAACAGAGAAAAAACCCTTGCTCTGGAGTGTATTCATGCATCTCTTTCTTTTGTCCTAATCCCTCTAAGCACAGTAATTGGCATGCACAGTATTTGGAGCAGTCATTTGTTTGGTATGCTTGCAGATGTATGCACTAGCCAAATAAAGCTTATAATTGTCTATATATGCTAGTTAGAAGTAATTGGTATTGGCAGGGAATTGGAGGAAAATCATCTAGTGGCATGAATTCTTTTCCTATTATAAATGGCAAATGAAGACTCCATTATAATTACACTTCTGTGTGTACCCTCTGTTGGCTAAAAATAGATGGGAAAATATTTTTGGTCTATTTGATGCTTATGGTCTGCTAAGAGCTACTGTGAAAAAAAGCAAGCTATTGTGGTTTAATTGTCGTCCTTGCAGATGCACAGAATCTGACTATTAAGGGCACCTATGCACCTTTTTTCACTGAAAAACACTTTCAAGATAACAAGTTAGTAATTAAAGATGAAATAGAAAAAAAAAATCCCACTGAGGACTTCTGGAGTACTCCCTGCTTAGCTTGATGCTGTTTGTGCTTCACGGGGCCTGCCTACACTACAGTGAAGTCAAAGTATATTAAAAAAAAAAAAAGTTTACCCTTCAAACTCTTTTTCCACTCTGCCCACAGTTCCTGCTATCACTACATCTGTTTCTCAAAGATCGGGAAGACAATATGCAAAAAATTCTGAGCTTCCTAAGTGATTCTTGCTTATGGCTATGTTTACCTTAGAAGGAAGTGTGGCTCCAATAGGAATGGATTTGTAAAGTGAAGAATCAGTTGGTACTGTGCTCCTGACACCCATACTCTGCATATTTCTGGACTATACTTCACAATAATTCTAGTCTAGCACTGAACTCCCATTAGCTGGAGTGTATTAGAAGCACTCTTGAAATTTCTCTTCCAATTTAGTTTCAGATGAATACCGTTCATGAGCTCCAAGAGAGCTCCATGATTTGAACCAAAGGATGGTAAATGGGGATGACTGACACCTCCAACTCAAAAAGGCTCTGATGTTTTGAACTGAAACACTAATGTATACACACCCTATAAGAATTAGAAAAACATGGATCATAAAATCATAGAATCTTTGGATTGGAAGGGACCTTTTATGGTCATTTAGCACAACACCCCCCCAAGGAGCAGGGACATCTTCAACTAGATCAGGTTGCACAGAGCCCAGTCCAACCTGACCTTGAACGTTTCCAGGGATGGGGCATCTACCACCTCTCTGGACAAACTGTGACAGTGTTTCACCACCCTCATTGGGAAAAATTTCTTCACTAGATCTAGTCTAAACCCACTCTCTTTTAGTTTAAAACCTTTACCCCTTGTCCTATCACAACAGGCCCTGCTATAAAGTCTGTCCCCATCTTTCTTATAAGCCCCCTAAGTACTGGAAGGCTGCAATAAGGTCTCCCTGGAGCCCTCTTTTCCAGGCTGAACAACCCCAACTCTCTCAGCCTGTCCTCATAGGAGAGGTGTTCCTCCCCTCTGATCATTTTTGTGGCCTCCTCTGGACCTTCTCCAACAGGTCCATGTCTTTCCTGTGCTGAGGACTCCAGAGCTGGATGCAGGACTCCAGGTGGGATCATCTGAATGTAAATTCAAACAACATATATTTCAGAATGTGGGCAACTATCACTAGACAAGATACGTGCTTTTGCCTTACAACCTTATATGATACATATTTATGAGAAACTATGATAGTAGTGGCACAGCTACTGTGTGGGCATCCTGTCTGGTAAAGTGGGTATGGTATAAGACAGCACAAGCATACCTTGTGCTGTCTGGTTTGTGCATGCTCATAAGATTTCTGGTTCATTGCACCTGAACTATCTGCTTGAGAGGTTAGTCCAGCCTTAGAGTCTCCTTTAACAAAAAGTGAAGACATGACCCGTGACTATTCTGGTCTATGCTTTCTTGATTTTGATTCATTTTTTCTTCTGACAGTTCAGGTTCTTCAGATGTGGTGGCATGGCATCCCTTTTGACTCTGCCTACTAGCTTCCATTCCATTCAATTTTATTCCATTCTCAGGTACCTTGTTTTGACGCCTTTTGGGAATGTACACATACTGCATGGTGTTAAGAAGAGTTGGAAATCACAAATGCAAGTTCTTGATTTAAAGAATAGAAGCTTAAAGGCATTAAGAATTCAATAATTAATTCTAAGGATTCAAGTTCCAAGTGTTAAGAAATCAAGAAGTAAAGCTTAAAGGTATGCTACAGCAGATCTTTTCCAATAATGTAGAAATAATCCAAAAGCAAGAACTTTTATACTACATTGGGGTTTTTTCCTCTCTGTTTAATACACCTAATTTCAATATGAATTGCAGGGAAATAAGAGCTTTATTGTTGAAATACATAGAATATCAGCTCCTCCATTACTTTCTAGAGTCTAACAGGAATAGCTGTGCTGATTTTTTTTTTACTTCAGCTGCACTGGATGAAAGAAGTAAGTTGACAGCTGTCAAAATCTACACAATTCACATTTGGGAATAACTACCGTGTTTTGAATACCAGTGCCTCTTTGTAGAACTACCTTGCATAAAAAATGACAACAGAAAATAAGTAACTTTAAGCACGTCCTACTTCAAATACCTTTCAGTGAACCACCAGAAACTGAAGTGAAAAAGGCAGCAGAGGTATACATAGTAGAAGTCCAAACATGAAACAAAAATCTAAATGTAAACAATTGTTGAGCACAGGACCATCTAGAAAAAGCCTAGTCACACTACTCAAGGGATAATAACTTACTGTTTTTGAGGAATGATTACATATCACTGTTTTTCTCTCTGTCATAATCATAAAGAAAACCAACTACAACACAAAAAGTTGGCAAATACATCTTCATGCCTATGTTGAGCTTAAAATGTTGAGAAGGAATATTACTGCATGGCATGATTTTACATAGCTGTTATTAGCCAAGAAAATGTAATTTGTAACAGTTTCACCGGTCCTGTCTATAAGCATGGTCCACACAAGAAACACAGTAAAAATAAAGTCTTCAAAGTAATGGATGGGTTTTGCCCATCTTATCTTCTACAATTCTTAAGTAACTGTATCATATTTGTATTGCATCATTTCTTTACATATTCTATATTCTTGCATGGTCTATTTTCCCATGGATTTCAATGGAAGATTTCAAGTTACATATTACTATTTACCAAAATAAGATTCGTTTTCACAATGCTCATCATACTTTCTCAAAGTTCTTAAGCTTGCTCTACAATTTCTCCCTTTTCCTACAGAATCTAACTGTCATTGAAAAATATTTTTTCAGTGTAGATACTGTGGCAAAAATAATGGTGTAGTATGCCTGCTGCTATATCATTCTCTGTACCAATTTCAAAACACTTCAAAACAGGATTAAGATGTGTCCCCTTCTTTAAGTATGTTGAGGTCTCCAAACTCTGAGTGAAAAATCTCAATAAATTCTGAGAGGACTCTCTTCAAACTTTTTTTTTTTAAGATAGGAAATAAATAAAAAATTTTAAAATAGTGATGGAAAGAAAAAGCTATGTGACATTTCCCAACTATACAGAAATCACTGAAGATGAGTAGAATGTTTATCAGTTTTAGTCTTTATGTATGAAACATTCTGCTATCCCAATCTAAACGAAAAGAATCTGTTTCACAATGAATTAAAATCAATCAAAATTTACATATAGGCTGCTATATGGTTCAAAATATTAGATGCAGTAATAAGAGTCCAAAAGTAGTGATGCCACATATTTAAAAGGTAGCTTGGGCTATGCAGAACACCAGCACTATTTTAAACATTATGTGGGTCAACTGTAAGGGAACACAACTGTATTGGGTTTGCACAACAGCAGTTGGAAGACAGGAGTGAAAATATGTGAGAGAACAAACTCCACAGACACCAAGGTGAGTGAAGAAGCAGGAGGAGGAAATGCTCCAGGTGCCAAAGAAGAGATGCCCCTGCAGCCCGTGGTGAAGACCATGGTGAGGCAGGCTGTTCCCCTGTGGCCCATGGAGCTCCACAGTGGAGCAGATATCCCCCTGCAGCCCTTGGAGGACCCCACACTGGAGAAGGTGGATGCTTGAAGGAGGCTGTGACCCTGTGGGAGGCCCACTCTGGAGCAAGCTCCTGGCAGGACCTGTGGACCCATGGAAAGAGGAGCCCACACTGGGGCAGGTTTGCTGGCAGGACTTGTGACTCTCTGCGGCACCCATGCTGGAGCAGTCTTTTCCTGAAGGACGGCACCCCATGTATGGGACCCAGGCTGGAGCAGTTCATGAAGAACTGCAGCTCATGGGAAGGACCCACGCTGGAGAAGTACATGGAGGACTGTCTCCCATGGGTGGGACCCCATGCTGGAGCAGGGGAAGAGTGTGGGAGAAAGGAGTGGCAGAGACAACTGTGATGAACTGACCACAAACCCCTTTCCCTGTCCCCCTGTGCCACTTGGGGGGAGGAGGTAGAGAATTTGGGAGTGAAGTTGAGCCCAGGAAGAAGGGAGCAGTGGTGGAAAGGTGTTTTAAGATTTGTTTTTTATTTGTCATTATCCTACTCTGACTTAATTGGTAATAAAGTAAATTAATTTCCCCAAGTCGAGTCAGTTTTGCCTGTGAAGGTAATGGGCGAGTGATCTCCCTATCCTTATCTTGACCCACAAGCCTTTTGTCTTATTTTTTCTCCCCCTGTCCAGTTGACGAGGGGGAGTGATAGAGCAGCTTGGTGAGCACTTGGCATCCAGCGAAGGTCAATCGACCACAGCAGCATGAGTCCACTATCCACCACCCATAGATTTTCCACTTTGGAAAACCTCTTTCATCTCAAGAATAACTTCTGTAAGTGGCAAGTATTGAGCAACAAGTAAATCTTGTACATACTGATAGCAGAAGGCTATCAGATATTTATAAACTTCACATTCCTTGAATGTTTATTAGTATGGATTATTAATAGAAAATAATTATTGATCATTTTGACTGACATACATCTGTATTGTATGTCTGCTGTTTTACAGACTGCATTGACGAAAACATCACAGCATATAAAGAAGAAAAAAGGTTACTATGTAATACTGTTTATATTTCCATAAAATAATTATGTTTACTTACAACTGGGCCAGGTGGACCTTGTGGGCCTTCCCCACCTTTCAGACCAGCTGGACCCTGAAAAATGAGAAAAAAAAAGCTTATCTCTTACACTGGAAAGTTCAAGAGTTATTTTTGCAACACATGTAATAGGAGGAATGTAAAAATCCAGAGACAAAAAATTGAATAAATTCCTTTTTGCTTATATAGCAAATGATATTTAACAATGTTGGATGCTTGATGTCTGTTCACCTGTTGCATTCATTTTTAAGCACAGTAGAAGGTTCCATGAAATAACAGAGTTAATCCTTTGTTTCTTGTATTTTGAAACATCATGTCAATTGTTCTAGTACGTATATCATACCTGAGCACCTGGAAGGCCTCTCTCTCCAGGGAAACCACGAAGACCTGCTGGTCCATCTTTCCCCGGAATGCCTTGAGGGCCTGGGTCACCCTTGAAACATATTACATTTTGATTAAAAAACTATAAAATGCTTATGTTAATCATCAAATGAGTGATGAAAATGAAACATCAGATCCTAGTTATAGTAATGACAAAAAAGATTATGCCCCCACCTATTCACCTGCTAATTCATTTAGGATTTTCAGTACTATAGTCTATCAATATGGTTAAATTTATAACAAGCTTTGACAAAATACAGTATTAGTTACAGAATATAGGTAGTGAAAAACACAGCAAGCCATAAAAATATATTTAAAGATAAATTCATTGAAAATTTACACTGCCCATTTAAAATGGAAGACTGAATAGAATTACATAGTAACTCTATAAGCAATATTTTTCTTGTGCTCCAATGATGGCCAAAAATTAAGCAAAGAACTAAATTTGGTCAGTGAAATTCTGCCTTGTAGCCAGTACTACACATCCTACTTTAAATGCCAATGTACAATTTTCCACCTTGGTGTGAACACGTCATTATTACGTCTTTACATAGTGAATGTGTGGTATATGTAAACTAGTTTTTTACTTTTTATTACAAAAATACTAATTATTGGCTCAAGAGAGTTTTCATTGTTTCAATGGAAGCAGACACAGCTCTAAAACTGAGATCTTCCAGTCTTCAAAATCCTTCTGGGTGAAACGTGCTAATCATGATTTTATATTGTATGTTCTGATTTTATTCTGCATGTACTGCATGGTGATTTGAAATAACAGACCATCAACAATTTATCTGTCCCTTGCAATTTGTTTCCCAAAGCCACATCATACCTTAGCACCTTCTTTTCCTGCAGCACCTGGGAGGCCTTGTTCACCTGGTGGACCAGGAGGACCTGGATGACCTCTTTCACCAATTGGGCCAGTCTCACCAGTAGGACCCTAAAGGACAAAAGTGAAACTTCAGTCACCTCAAGGTATTTCACATCTTGGGAGGTTGGGGTGGGGAGAAGCAGATTTTTAATATGCAGCTGTTATGAATATCTGTTACAAAATAATACTACTATTGGTTAGCATACATTCCTCACCTTCCCTCCAGGCAAAGCTGACTTACAAAATATCTTTGTCCTATAAAATAAATCTTGCATTACATTTTGCCTGCAGACACGTCTGTACAACTTCCAAAGAGTGAAATCCTGACCTTGCTTCTTAAGCAATGAAGCTTTAAAACACAGTGCGTACCCATGTATGGGAGGAGGTTACAAAAAGGACACGGGAGGGAAATCCATGTACTATGCTTGTCTTGAAACACTGCCTGTACTGTTGTTTTTCTGAATAATATGAATTGGAAGGTAGGAGAGTTGAAAGATATCTCTTCAGATTCACTAGCAGAACATTTTCACTGAGGGAATTATCTAAAAAAGCTCATGCAATCCAAATGCTTGATTTTGTTGCAAATAAGTAAGATTAGATCAAATGAAAATTTGATAGTGAATCTCTCCACAATCTAAAAGTGACTGAAATTTGGCCTCTGACAAGAAAGTCACATGTTGTATTGTTCTTTCTAAACTATTTCATGGTAGAGAACTCTGCTGCCTTGACTTCTGTAAACCACCAACTTCATAACCACGTGAAGAAAACACACAAAAAAGGAAGTGGAAAGGTAACTGCAACATTTGCATAATTTGTGGAATCACTAATGATTGCTAAGTACACCTTTCTAAAACTGTTATGCATAATTTGTTACAAAAGTTAATATAACCATTGATATAGTCCTTTTAATACAACAAAAGCAACTGCCTTAGCCTCAGTATTAAATTAAACATTGGTCTTATGAAGTTAATTATGAAATTAAATTATGTACCTGAGGGCCAACAACACCACCAGGACCAGGAGGACCAGTTTTTCCTTGAAAACCCTGTGAAATAATTATAGAATACTATGTTACCCAGGACAACATACAGAAGAGTAAAATTCATATCCGTGCTGAAGAGAAAGAGAAATGCCATGTCACACATTCCTTCTCTTCAGGAAATAAAAATGAGAAATTCTTTTTTCCTGTGTATACTTAGAAGTGAAATACTGATTAATCTTTCTTATCTCTATCAGTTCCAGTCTCTCTGAGGTGGTGCAACAGTAAAAATTCCAGTCAATTTTACAGATCTCTCTTGGTGAACTTGATTAGGTGAATCTGAATGCATAGGTGATGCAGCTAAAAGACAGCTGAAAATACACTTTTACACATATGCATTATGAATCATAAAGCCAGATATACAAAGGCTTTTTAGAGAAAGACACAAATGGTGGATTAAGTCGGAGAGGCCTTAAAGAGAAAGGAGAGGTTAGGCAGAAAGAAAAGGAATAGAGATACAGGGAAGATGAAGATTATATAGAGGTGGTAAAAAAGGCAGCATGAGTGCCACAAAAAGAATGAAGTTAATGAGAAATTGATATGATGACAAAAACTGGGTGTAGAGAAGAGAAAAGAAATGTTTTTGGGACACTTTTTCAGAACACTGGCAAATTTTACAGAACTTTCATTTTCTAATCAGTGGCCCCAGACTTCCGTCCAAAATCAGTCAATAAACTGAATGACAACCTTACTAAAAGCGGTATAAATAGTAGTACTGTTTAACGTATCTTTGAAATGTACTTAATTATTTCTTTCAAGTATTGGAAGTGTGTTGCTGCATAAAGTTAGCAGAGTGCATTCACTGCTGTATCACATCTAGGGTTCCATATAGCATCCCCTGCCTAACAGCTTATATCTGCCTCCTACTCTGCTCACCTGTGTAAAAACAAAGGTGTCGTCTGGACCATATTTCTTATAAATGTTGGGCCCTGCTCAGCATTCCTCTGGGCACAGTCTCACTGACAGTTGCCCCGTTCCATCAGATCCAGTTTAAGCTTTTTTTACCTTCCTCAATCTGATTCTCTTCTTGCTGCCAGCCAGACGTTATCATGGTTCAGTTTGGCCCATAACTGTTTAGGCACTCTCTCTCAGACCTCTGAAATGATCCAGATTAAAAACAAATACAAAAGTACCCCTTTGCTCTAATGACTGAAAATCAGAACTGCTACAGGTGAAGTCATTCATGTGTCCCTTCCTTCACACAGTCAAAGCTTCTCCTGAAGACTATTGTAATGAAAGACAAAGGAATGTTGAATATTACCCATTTCCTGAAAGTACCTTGAGAAGATCTGCTATTCCCAAGTTTGCAGAATGCATTGATACTTTGCAGTATATTCAATGATTCTTGATGTTAAAGATGGTTTTACTATTCTGCTTTTTCTCTTATGTCACCAGCTTTTTTATTCCTACAGATTCAGATTTGTAAAAGAAGTAATATGCAAAGGAGATTTCAGCAGCAAATACTCAAGATGATCTGAACATCCAATGGGATCATCTAAAATATCTAGTATTAAAAAATTTACACTGATGTCTCATGCCTGTGGTTGTAAGTGCCTAATTAGCCTTGATTTTTTTCTTATTTTCTGTGAAAGACAATTTAATAAAACTCAGTTTATTGTAGTAAGACAAAGGTTGATTAAATCTAATAGATGAAACAGCTGATGTATTTCTATTTTATCCTTTCACAGGCATGAAACACTAAATTCTTGCATAACACCAGTCTAACAATCTCTGCAGCTGATGCCTCCTGCCAATCTGAGATTGATATCACTGAAAGTGATAATCACTTCTGTGGAGGAACTAACTTAATATTGGTTTTCGGTATCTAGTTTATTCCTATATTTATATTCCAATTTATTTATCATGATATTACTGTTCCTGTGTCTAGAATTTCAGCAAACAATGGCAGTTCTTCAAAGTGCATATGGCTTACTGGGGGAAGAAGCTGTAGCCTTTTCTCCACTAATACTTACCTCAGTTGCTGTCAACATATGCTTATTATTCCATAACCAAGTTGCAGAGTGCAATCTGGGAATCTGGCTCTCTAATTGGTTAAGCTTGAGTATGTCTCAGCCTAATTCCCTAATTGTTGTAATGCCCACATACACCACTGAACTTTAATGAGATATACGCCCAAATAAGAAAGAGAATTCTTAAGACCCTGATTTACCAATGTAACTGAAATGCAATGAAAGTTTTCTGATCTATACATTTTTAAAAAATCTGAAATTGAAATGTTCATCCAGAAAAAAGTCAAGTCTACTTTTTGTTTTTTAAAAAATCTGTTTTTCTACAAAACCATATACATGAGAACCCATGGGGAAAAATATTTTTAAAATAATCCTGGCCCAAGTATACATACACACAGGGCAGAAAACAATGCTAATGAAAATCTGTATTTGCTCCTAAATTACTCAAGTCTTGTATCAGTCTAATGCTACTACACCCAAAGGAGATACACAAGTAGACAACCATAGTATTGATTGAACCCAGAGGGACCTAGTCCAAACATCACGCAGTAGCAGAGTCCATAGTTTCATTGTATTTTGCATCTTTCATTTCTAGTCATGAGTGAAATCAAGAAATCATAGAATCATAGAATGGTTGAGGTTGGAAAGGACCTCTGAAGGTCATTTGGTCCAACTGCCCTGCTGAGGCAGGACCATTGAGAGCTGGTTGCCCAGGAATATGTCCAGACAGCTTTTGAGTATCTCCAAGGATGGAGACTCTGCAACCTCTCTGGGTAATCTGTTCCAGTGCTTGGTCACCCTCACAGTGAAAAAGTGTTTCCTGATGTTCAGATGGAACCTCCTGTGTTTTAGTTTATGCCCATTACCTCTTGTCCTGTCACTGGGCACCACTGAAAAGAGACTGGCTCCATCTTCCTTATACCCTCCCTTCAGCTATTTATATACTTTGATAAGATTTGACCTGGGCCTTCTCTTCTGTAGGCTATGCAGTCCCAGCTTTATCAGTTATTACTCATAGGAGAGATGCTCCAGTCCCTTAATCATCTTAGTGGCCCTTTGCTGGCCTCTCTCCAGTAGTGCTCTCTCTCTTCTACTGAGAAGCCCAGAGCTGGACACAGTAGTCCCAGCCTCAGGAGGGCTGAAGAGAAGGGAAAGATCACCCTACTGCAGCCCAGGATACTATGAGCATTCTTTGCCATAATGGCACATTAGTGGCTCATGTTCAAATAAATAAGAATAAAGGGAAAATAGTAACTGTGCTTTTTCTTATCAGACTAAAGAACAATTTTGAGTTTCCTGCATTCTAACCAGTGATTCAAATTCATTCTTATGGTACCCAAGACTAGTCTTTGCATCATCACAAAATTAAGCTTTCTCATGCCTAACCTACAACCATACGAAAACTACAGTTATATAACCTCTTAGTCCCAGCCTCTTCCGCTTTTCTCTGTTGTCTCTGTTTCTTTAGTTTTGATCACACAATCATGGCCTTTGGAGGTTTACAACATTAACACAGTGGAGAACATTTACTTACAGTCTCACCCCGCTGCCCTGGGTGCCCAGGCAAGCCATCTTTTCCAGGTGGCCCCTGAAATTGTAAAATACATAAATCAAAGCATTTCTTAGCCATCCCGAATTTTGAAAAAAGTATGCAATTAGCTGTAAGAATCTGTGATCTCTCTGTTTTTTCTAGGCTATTTTTCAGTACAGCTTAACTGCTCCTATATCAGCTAACTATGATTTTAAGAATATATTTTCCCTGTATCCTCCCTGACATGTGTTAGCAATTGCTTGGAGAGTGACTGTTAGGTTGTCAAATGCATGTGTGTTCAAAACTGACTTCTGTAAATTCAGAAATCATGGGAAGTCCCTATACCTCCCTTCCATTTTTCTTTGCTTACTCACTCAATTTACACAAAACCAAGCATTATAGGAGTATCTGATGAAATTTCAGGTTTTGGCATTGGAAATAAAAATAACAAATGCATGGGTGTACTTACTCTACATAAGCAGAAACACACTCTTCCGGTTTTGGCTGGGGTCAAAGCTACTTTTCATAGTAGCTAGTATGGGGCTATGTTTTGGATTTGTGCTGAAAGCAGTGTTGATAACACAGGGATGTTTTCATTATTGCTGAGCAGTGCTTAGGCAAAGTCGAGGCCTTTTCTGCCTCTCACTCCACCCCACCAGCGAATAGGCTGGGGGCGCACAGGAAGCTGGGAGGGGACACAGCTGGGAAAGCTGACCCCAACTGACCTGAGGGGTATTCCAGACCATATTATGTCATGCTCATGGGAAGGGGGGGACCTTCGGAGTTATGGCATTTGTCTTCCTAAGTAACTTTACATGTGATGGAGCCCTGCTTTCCTGGAGATGGCTGAACTCCTGCCTGCCGATGGGAAGTGGTGAATGAATTCCTTGTTTTGCTTTGCTTGCGTGTGCGGCTTTTGCTTTGCCTGTTAAACTGTCTTTATCTCAACCCACGAGTTTTCTCACTTTTACTCTTCTGATTCTCTCCCCCATCCCACCAGGGGAGTAAGCAAGCAGCTGCATGGGGCTTAGTTGCTGGCTGGCATTAAACCATGACACTCACTAGAAAAGCAATATAACTAGTTCAGGCTGTAGCTCAAATGTGCCATTAATTCTATAAATTTCTGCTACTAATGAATGTCTCCTTCCTCCTCATTTTTTTTCTCAACTAATCAACTGATATACACCAGAAAAGTAATATTTTGCCTAAACTCAGTCTGTCACCTGCATCAACTAGAAGATCTGCAGTTTAGTATATTATGCTAGGTGTCATATGAGCTGCACCAATGATCATTTTGAATATGTGAGTTCTTGCCTCAGCCTTAAACCTCAATAGCATATTTGTAATCTATACATAAACAATCCTTTAAATAAATCTTCAGATACTAACTTCAGAAACATTGTATGAAAAATAACATTCTTGTTGTCGTACATACTTAATTAAAAAGATACTTACTGGAGGTCCCTTTGGTCCGGGGAATCCAACAGGTCCCTGAGGCCCTTGTGGTCCCTAGTATAAAGGCAACCAAACACATAGTTTTACTCTAGCTGCCATGACACTGGATTGAAAAGTTTGCTTCAACTATAAAATATATGAACTCTGCAGATAACATGTGATTGTAAGTATAAAGTCTCAGCTCCACTGCCATAAATGTTGGTAGCAACAATACACATGCATAGACATTGGAGGGGATTTCCTGAAACCAGTACTGCCTGTGTAGGAATGCAGTAGGAAAAAAGAAAAACTACTTATATAAAGTATGTCTGTGTCTGACCCCTGAAACTGTGCATAATAAAGTAGGAATCAACTATGAGTAAGAATCATTGTTTTCTGTGTTGCATAAAACATGGTAATTAATTAATAGTCTGGTGGTCTTTTTAACTTTGAGTCTAACATCCGTCTTTGGCCGTTCTTACACTCTGAAAATATTTCAAGCCAGTACACCAGCACAAACTTCCAAATAGAATGAGCTTTCCAGAGTTACCGGGGACTAAACACAGCATTCTTGTATCATGAAAAATATCTGAGATAGCTGAAAAAACCCCATGATGCATGAACATTTTATTCATACAGTTTTGTATATACACACATATATGGAGATAGAAAATTTTCATGCAGCATGATTTTACCAATTTAAAGATGATCGAGTTAGTGCATTGTGTACGTATATGTACAAGTATATACATAGATATGTGTACATACATGTATGTCCACACACATCTATACACATAGATATTTATACAAAGTACTAGCTTACATGACTGTTTCTAAAGTTGTCACCAAACAAAACAGAGGCCAGCTTTTAAAATTTATTGCTGATATGCTGAAAGGGACTCTGTCTGCTTGTTAAAAGAATTTTTCCTGTTTAGTTTTTAGTGTGCAAGTCAAAGAGTAACAGCCTGAAAAACCTTATTTATTCTACATGGTCCTGCAGCAGAGCCATGTACCCTAGGCATATAGTGCAAGACTTTATCCTGTTCTACTTGGTATATGATGTTTGGTTTTGCTAAAAAAAGTATTTTTACTGACATCAGCTGTCAAAATACGTTAGGGACATTGGTTTGAAGTCTGATGCAGAAGACTTGAAGCAGGAGGCCACATCTCCCAAACTATGCTACCCTTTTGCTCCTCTGATAAAGCTCCAACTGTTTCTGAGTTCCATAAGCCTCATTCATTAGAGCCCAGGCTCACTTCCAAGCGTTGCTGCCTCCTGCAGTAGATGAAGCAGTGTGCAAATGTAGCTGAGGGAGAGGATTCCTTGTGCCCAACCTAGAAGAATTTGCCCTTAAGTGAATCTTATTCCAGGGTAGACCTTGATTATACTGTAATACTAAATCTCAGTAAACTAAGAACTGCTAGGTAAAGGAAGAAATCTTTATGATATTACTGCACTATTTGTCACTTTTATATTCCCTTCCAAAACAGGTGTACGGTTGTTTCTGAAACCTCCATAACACACAAATATGTTCCATACGAGGGTTTAGAGTTTTTTTATGCTGCTGTCTCTGTGAACAAATGACCTTTCCTCATTTGTTTCTGGGTATAACATAAAGCATAAAGTTAAAAAAAAAATGGAGAAGTTTTATAGAGAAAAACTATTAAAATTGACTCCGACACTGTACAAAATGTATGAAAGAAATTGGTCCCTCTCAGGCATAGGGCTATAAGAGCACAACTCAAAATTTTACTGTTAGTTGCACCTTCTTTCTCATAAATTCCCACTGTACTTTGATCCACACATTTTGAGGCTTTTTAAGGAAAGAAGAATTGCATTTTTTTTAATTCACAATATGGCTTGCAGATTTCAAGTGACTGGACTGATGGATTATGTGAGAACAAGCACTAGAATACTAACAACATGTTATCAAAATTACATTTTCTTTTTTTGTCATTAAATTTCATTTTAAAAGTAACTATACAGGATTATTTTATGTTTATGTGTCTTGTACCTGAAATAGTCTCAGCGGAATAGAAATGACAGTTTTATTTGTTGGCTGAAATTCACCCCTATTGGGAAGCGAATAGATACCTCACACATACTACACAAGTGATATGAAATGTGGTTCTCTGCGATTCTTCATTTCTTTGCTCTAATCAGTTCTTTTCCAGGGATGCCTTCATCTTGGATTGATCTGCTCTTGTTTTCACAGCTTCTCTTCTTCATAACCTCTTGGAGCTGTCAGCAATCTTCTCCTTCAGAAGGCTCTGCTATTCACTTCCTAGTAGTCTGCCTCTGATGTTCCCCCTCAGTGTAAAACAACCTACAGTTCCTCTCTTGGACTATGCTGATTTCTCTACATCCAACATCCTAGTTAACTCATTCCTCTCTTGAATACAGTTTCCCATCCCTGTGTCTCTCTCTTACTTCCCACATCATTCCTGTTTCACCCAAACTTTCCATTTATTCTAGCTGTCTATGTTCCATTTCGTACTTTGCCTTTTGCTTGATATAGAGGTACTTTCAACTCCTTACTGCAGCCTCCCATGGAATGTTGCCTTCCATATACTCTGTCTACAGTCTAGTCCTCCAAGTCCTCAGCTTCCCTTCTGTTCTATCCTACTTATCCTCCTTACTGCAAGAACCACTGTCCTGCTCCAGTAACCAGTCTCTTGGGCAGTTAAGTAATATTCTGCTTCAGGAATGAAAGTGCTAAAATTATGATTATGAAAATTTTTAGTAAACTAAAACTTTTGTTTCCTTTTTTTGTCATATGCCTCAATGGCTTTTGGTCAAAAAGAAAGGAATCCTTTTTTTAAGCGGGAAAATGTGACATTAGATGTGGAGGCATGTGCATTCCTTTAAGTATGTACAGCAGACATGTTTATTAATACTCTACTTGCAACTACTAAGGATAAACTGAACAAAATTAACCTTAATTGCTTTCTGCAAACACACAAATTGAAAATTTGAGATTTCTAGAACACGCTCATGCCATGCTCCTGTTATCATTAGTTTTATGAATGTCCTTATCTCCAGTAATCAACTCAATCAAACCATGTGGTCTGATCCTATGGTCTTTTTCCTTTTTCAGTTTGCTTAGTCATTCTAGCAAAAACAGTTTGCTGTTGTTCTGCCAGTATTGTTACACCAAGTGTGCATGTATTCAGCAAGGAAATAGTGTAACAAAGTGATATTCTGGAACATGAGAAAATGCACAAGGAACTCCATCCTGGGGAATAAGACTTCTGGAGATCACTGGGACTTGGGGGTGGGAACTGGGAAAGGATTTATAGATTCTCTACATGAAACAGGTTAGCAGCTTAATGACATATGACTATGAAAGAAAAGTTTGTTCTTAAGCTTTGCAAAAATACTTTGGCAGAGAGCATGTCCACTTAAACTATCCGACTTGGTTTTCAAGTGCTGCTATTACAAATCTGATTTATTAATATTGTTTTTCTATATACTGCTGTGTAATGGGCTGACTGTACATTGGATTTGTATATTGATTGGTAATATAATAGCAAGCAGAAAATTTTATTTTAGCAAGCACAATAGGATTTATCAAGCATGCAAAAAGTAGGTTGAAGGAATTCTTAGCTGATCAGAACAAAAAAATCAGCTACTTCAACAAAGAGGTTTCTGGAGATGACTTGAGTGATTTGTATATCCCATAAACAAGTAGTACGCTGCAGAAAATGGGACATTCTTAGGAGCATATGCTGGTAAGTACAACTGTAATTTGCATGGATATATACAAAGTGCATGGATATAATACAAAGTGTGTATGTATTCTCTGTGTCCTATTTGCACAAAACTGAGCTACAGATGGAAGAAGCTTTCAGCAAACTTCAGCTACCCCGTTCATAACTTTGTGAAAAGCATCATTGGAATTGAGGTTTTGTTAGTTATGGCTACTCTGGTCGAAGAAGGGCAAAGACACGGGAAGGAGAACTAAAAATAAAACCCTTCCACCTTCAAATCACACTCCTATACAGTGGGAAAAACAACATGTACATAAATAGCTTTCACATACCCTTTCACCTGGTGGGCCAGGAGGACCGTCATTGCCTGCAGTACCCTAGAAAGGAAAGACAGTATGTTCAAAAATTAAACCTCTATTTTTTTTAAAAGAGAGAGCCTATCTATACAGTGTGCCTGACAATCACCTTTGGACCTGGTTTGCCCGTAGGACCTCTGGGACCTCTTGAGCCTCTTGGACCCTGTCAATTTAACACAAATGCACTTGAAGATAATTATTGGATACTATAATCAAATCAAAATAATTCTTCACAGTATAGTGGAGGCAATTAATATAGGACAGACTCTTAACTGCAAAGCAAAAGTACATACTGTTGGTCCTCGCTGTCCTCTGGGGCCTGGTTTTCCATGTAATCCCTGTAGAGAAAAGTTCACAGAAATCATCTTAGCAGACACTGTATTTGTGAGATAAAGGGGTTTTTTTAACTGAAGTGGGGGCAGAGTGCAGCTCCCTTAGGTTTAAATGTTATCTTTAAGTATCTGCTTTGCATTTCAATTTACAGAATCATGGTCCTTGATAAAATTGATTATCTTTCTGAGTTCACTGGGACTTGTTGCTAAATATGCTAAATTTGCCTCAGAGTCAAGATTATGTCATAGGCATTACAACATTTTAAACTACTTTAAAATAGTAGTGAAGATGCACACAACAAGCAGAGTGCCTCTGCAGTAGTTTAAAAATCTTGGAATCATTTCCAATGTAGTAATAGCCTTGAAGACAAAGATCCCAGGTTTGTGTGGACAGTTCCACAGGTTAATAGAGCAAAGAAAGGGCAAGCCTCTCTCTTTCATAACAGAAATAGGGACTGTAATACCTACCAGGATTCTGCATACTTGCACAGAGATACAGAACTTGCCAGAATACCAGCCCTTAATTTTTTGCTTCAGTATATCTCCTAAATCATACTCAACAGTTTTCTTTCCTTAGGCTCGACATATACTAATATTAAATGTTGTGCATTCTAATGCAAAGAAGCTTAAATTCAAAAGAGTATTCTTCAGGTGGACAAAGGAACCTGATGAATGGTACTTTCTAATCTCTGAAGTAAACACAACAGCAACAGAAAATCAGCAGAGATGTTTCAGCATAAAACTTGCTTTTATTTCGAAGCAATTAAATGTATACACCTGTTTTCTTGTGGGTTTTTTTTCATACTGATTTTATTTCACTTATCAAAATTAAAATTTTGTGCTGTTCTTAAAGAGCTGCATAGCTTGTGAACTCCTCAGGGACAAAGACTGTCTCTCCTAGTACCAGTGTGCGTGGTAGCATAATGATATCCCTTTAGGCAAGATTAAGAATAATACCTGATTCACAGTACAAAACCAGCAGTTATTGTCTTACTGGTGATCAGCATAATACTTAAGTATGCATGCAGTTTGATGGTATTAATTATGTGGTTAGTACCCAAGCTGAATTGAAAGCTTTATGAAGGCCTAAAAATGGATCAATATAATTAGATTTTCATAATTTTAAGTCTGCTTTTTAATGTTATCATTTTGCTTTTTTTTTTTAATCTGGTATCTTGATTAGCAGCCTTTTTTCATTTTTCCCAACAAACTGAACATTGTTTTATTGCTTGTGTCTGTCCATAACAACATATTTTTATCTTAGCTAAAATAATACAAGAACAATTTAAATGATACATACGCAATTCAAATGCAATTTGATTTCATATATTTGATCTTAAAATCATGAATTTCTGCTCGTTTTCGTGCTGCAAATTAAAATGGATTCTTAAGAACCATGATATACATTACTTCAGTTTGACTTTAAGTTGCTACCATCTATGAATTCTGACTCATCCTCTTAATTTCATGATCTTTCTAACATGTTCTGCTATGTTCAAGAGAGCTTTAGAGACAACAGCACATTGACCTTCTTTCTAACCTATATTTCATTTTTACAGTTTGAAGAATATGTGCAACAGATTTTCTCTCACCTGCTTCAAGTAAAGAAAGCAGCAAAAGCTGTCATTTTACATCTATTTTTTAATGTATGTAATAGTACCTGTTTTTCATCTTGTCTGGTGTATTGCACATTTTAAAAGCTCAGCCTATAAAAAGCTTATGGCAAATCAGAACACTTATGAAATGCAAGTTGGATTTCCTTGATGGTAAATTGCATAGTAGCGGGACAATTCACGGGATATAGGAAAATAATCCTTGCCAACTCACTCAGCTATACTGTCAAAAAAGATGCTTCAGCAAAGCTGATTTCTTGTTTCTTTTTCAAATATATAATTGTGGTAGCATAAGCAGTGAGAAAGTGTCCGAGTTCCTGTATATTTAGATTAATAACTTAAAGAATGACAACTAGTGTCTCAGTATGTCCTGTTTTACATAACTGTAGAGGTTTATCTTAAATGTGAAAAGCCTGTTTTTATAGTTCTTTAGATAGTAGCTCGTATGTTTCAGTGACTTCCTATAGCACTGAGTTCCAAAAGTTAAAGTGTCATGCAAGCATGAATTATCATACCCTTGCACCTTTCTCTCCATTGGCACCTGGAAATCCTGGGAAACCAGTTGAGCCCTACATAAGAAATCAATGCAAATATCAGAAGATAACAATAGCAAAACAGTTGTATAGCCATCATTTAATTTATATGTAAAGCACACCTCCAAAGTCATGTACATTGTACATGTCAAACTTGCAAGTGTGACAGCTCTGGTGAATAGCTGTAAATTAACTTACCATAATGCCTCAAGTCCAGAATGCATTAAAAAATCAATGTATAGAATGGACATTATTTGTCATCTTATTAGACAATAAAGTATTCATTAAATCTGCACCATTTTTAACAGTAGGAAAGACATTATCAGTAACAGCCCACAAGAAATAACTGTATCAGAATGAAGAGGAATAAACAAGGCCTTGTTGCCTCACAGTATAATAATTCTTTTTCAAAATAACTTCATTCAAAATAATTGTAAAGTGTTGCCACATCTAAATAGTGGCCCTCTATGTACTTTACTGAGCTGTAAATTACTTCAGGTGCTTTATTCACCGTAGGCTGACCACTGGCCAGTTTCATTTAACTGATACATGCAATTTGTACATGTGCTTATATGCTTATCTCGTAAGTAGAATGTATGGGCAGATTGATTCTATATATAGAAACTGCTTCCAGGCATTATTCCTATTTCTCCTTTTTTCCCCGCTTTCCTCCTGCTAACTGCCCAGTCTAATCCAAACAGTACTATTTTCTTCTTTATTTATGGTACACAGGTCCAGAGGGACAGCAGACTTGTTACCTGCCAAGATGTTAATTTGTTACAAAGGACCCGGGGTCAACGAGGTGATAGATTTGATAAAATACACTTTTAAGTGACTGGAGATGAAAATCAAAGCAGTGTTTGGGTTTGTCAGCCACTAAAACTACTGGCCAGACTCCCTGCAGTGATAATGCATCTATATCTGTGCAGCTTGCTATTAGTATTTTAGTGGCAAATAAAATGCATATAACAAAAACTTAAAATAGAATTTCTTGGTGCTTGTCTTTGAAATGCCAATAAGTATTTTTTCCTTTTTCTCTTTTTTTTAACTTATGTTTTCGTCTCAATGAATCTTGTTTCACACAATCATTCTAATTAACCATTAATGACTTCAGGGCTGTACAACTTCACTGACACTAATTCTAATGAAAACCTGACTAATATTCACTGATGGGAGAAAAGTAAGAAATCTCCTCTACTCTCCGCTCCTTTCCTTTTCTTCACCAGTTATAACTTAAAATGTGAATAAAACTGTGAAAATTCTACTCTGTGAAGCCCAAGCATGTTCTTTATAATTAAAAGGCCAGAGGAAAAAACAAACTCTAATGATCGGGCATTAATAGGCATGAGTTTGTTGTAAGCATCTTATATATACAGTACTTTTTGCAATTGTGTTAATCAAGAGGGAGTGGACAGGAGAAAAAATATAGTGAAAATTATCAGATAATGGCAGTACTCTAAGAACAATTCTCAGAAGAAAAATAGTGAAAAGCAAGTAAGTGACAACAAAAAGAACAGTATGAACCTCCTTGGCAACACTGGGACAAGACTTCTTATTTGCTTTACGCATTTAATATGTTTTTCTGCTGCTTCTTTTTTGCTTTCTTCTTTACGTTAATTTGAATTGGACTGCGAAAAAGTTTCAAAGCAAGTCTCTAGTGAGCTGATGTATTGTAGCTCTTATTACTCTTCCTTGAAAGTTTGACTGACAAATTAGAAGACCAAACAGTGAAGTCAGCTTAAGAACTATTCTCAATTTTAATGTTATAACAATTTACTGTAATGAAATTCTTGATCAAGTCTTCCCTGAAAAAAGAATCAGTCAACTTTTATTTGAAGTGTTACATCATTTTTGTTCTTAGAACTGAATAATGCAAAATCTCTTTGATCTTAGACTTTTCAAAAGACAGTTCTAAGGGAGAACAAAAAGAGACTGAAATCTCAGGCATTTGAGTTAAGGACAGAAGGAGAAAACATGTCTCTCAAGGTGAATAGTTTTCATGAATACTTACCATAGATGGTTTTGATATTTTTGACTAACATTGAGTGTTCAGTGAATAAATATTCTTCAGATCATTCATCTGACTAAAAAGGGCCAAAGTATAGGCCAGAGTCAGAAAAACACTTTGCTCAGCCAGCCAGGAAGTTGTATTTCTTCCAAAAAATCATCATTTCACATTTGAAAATAAAAATAGAACCCAAAGTAGAGCAAAGTTCAGGATTTTACTGCAGGTTGATTGTTCAGTTGTGTAGAAGGGATTCTTTTACTTGTGATATTTCCCTAGATGAATCATCTTTGAGAAAGTCTGGAGATACCATGTTTCCCTAATGGCTTCCTCTACACTGGGAAATGTCTGTAGAATTAAGTTTTTATTCCATTTTTGCTTTCTTGCTAATCTCAGAAAAGAGAGTTTGCAATTAAGTTAGTGTGCCCATTTCCTAAAGCTGTGTTAGGACGACCTTTTTAAAAATACGTTTCATAAAAATGTTTTAAAAATATAAGCCTTCACTTAACCCAGAAGCCACCTATATGGTTTTCTATTGCAATCAAAACATAAAAGATGGCTGAAGGATAGACATAGGCACATAAATCAACTAAGGGTTCGGTTTTGTCATGTTTGTCTTAACAGAAGCAAAAGGAAAACATGATGAAAAATGTAAATTATATGTTTCAAAGAAATATGGCTTATTCTATGGAAGAGGCAGTAATGACACAAATGGAATCCTTGTACCACACAGAAAATTCCCGTCACTATTAGCATCCATTTAGTGGTCAATATAGTGCTCATTCTCTTTTAAGCGTATCAGCAGTTCCTTCATTTTCAAATTGGTTAATGTATGCCAATCTGATGCTCGCATAAAAAACACAACTCATGAGAGGATGGCAAAGGTTGGAATGTAGTAAGTTAAGAAGAGGAAAGATAGTGCTCCTTAAAAAGCCTGCCTTAAGGATCCAACAGCTTTAAAGCTTCTACTTCAGAACATGATTGTCAAGAAAGAAAATGTGAAAAATGGCCCTTGCTATGATGCCTACACCCTGCTTCCCCAAACACGCAAATAAAATAATGGCCATCATTACTAATGTCAAAGTGCAAGATACACAGCTCATTTACAGCTCACCTTGGGACCTTGTCTTCCTGGATATCCTGGCAATCCGGGTACACCAAGCTTACCCTGCAATAAGGCAGCAGTGTTAAATTTTATTTCATCCTCCTTAGTGGTTCAGCAAACTTCTATAGAATATGTTTTTTCCACAACTTAGAGTGGTGATACTTCATGGAATATAATATTAAATTAAATAAATTTCTCATTTTAACTATTAATCAGCAGTGGGCTTAGTTCCCTAAACATAAATGAAAATCACACTCCAATGAATGAGTTCAGCAAAGCCAATACCTCAAAGTCTTCCTTTTCCCCCATGTAGTGCTGTGTAGTGACGTGGGGCTGAGGTCATTAAACTATTAATACTCTCTTAAGAAATCAGAGTGTTAATAGGTTTAAGTGAGAAGAAATCCTTTTTAATTTATACTGTGTGATGGCTGCCTTGTTTCCAACAGATTTTTCATGAATAGGCATTTGAAGAATCAACTTTTTTCCTGAATAGTTCTAAACTGTTTGAGACTATGATAAATCATACCCCACTGACTATTTGCTGACAATTGATTTGTCAACAAATATTACCACCTTGCTATGTTCAGAAAGAACAACAGCATGAGCAGTCTGATCAACACTGACATTAACCATTCCCAGAAATGAAATACAGTACCCTACCCGATTGAGTTGGTCTCTTCAGACTTCTAAAGGATGAGTGATGGTTTGCCATTTTCAAAGGCAAGGGAAAGCAGTTTCAGTCTTTGAAAGATGGGAACTCTGTGGAAGAATTAGCCTATTTGCCTATTCTAAACACCTTTCATGTTCCAGACTATCACATTTTGGAGGAGATCTCAATGGAAAAGATATGATTATACAATATAATATGGTACTGTGCAGTAATATTAGTTAATGAAAAAGAGGAAGGAGAAACCTGTATGGGAAAGGAAATTTGCCAAAATAAACATGTCTATTCTTAAAAAATGCAGCACATGAATAAAGATGTTGTGTATTATCATATTCATGTAAGTGCATGTGTCTGGCTCAGAAATTATTAAAGAAGAATTCTTCTATTTACGTAAATAAATATAATGCTGCCAGTTATGTGCCACACCAAAACAAGCTGCACACATTGTAATTATGGAATTGTTTTGCAGAATGACTGCATCAAACTCTTGCCAAATTCACTGAAAGTTTTGTCCCTGATTTTATGATTAAGCAAGCCCAGTTGCCTAGGTTTTGAGTGTGGATACAGATGTTTTTTGATTATAAGCTCTTTTCTGATATATTCCTCATTGTTTTGGCACCATACTCGGCGTTTTCTTTACTAAGCAAATCCAGCCCTAGACCTACTTGGGAAAGAAAGTTTTCTTATCATGTGATGAGTAAAATGTAGAGAATAGGAGATTACTCTGGTACTTTCATAACTGTGTAAGAGTAGTACCTTTGCATTAAATAAGTCATACAAATGACAAGGGAATAGGACATTGATAACTGGTCTTACAGACACTTCCCTAACATTGTGGGGAGATCTAAGAGTTCACAAAGATTATTATGTCTTTGCACTAAAGTAAGTATCACAGGACCAATATCACAGAGTTCTCGTCTAACCCAATCCATTCTGGCCAAGTATCCACAGAATATCCACAGAAGATGTTTGACTTTCAATGGGCAAGAAAAGATATAAATATTTGTAGAAAAGGGAAAGATTTGGGCCTACAGTTCCAAGTCCAGCTAACAGTGTTATCAACACCAATGATTTTTTCAAATATCTTCTGATATTTAGGGCTTCAGATTCTGGACTTGTGAGACTGTGAGAGTCCCATATATGTCATAGTGAAGAAAAAATGCTTGAAAACATGATCCTATATTCACATTGAGTAATTTGAATAAGAAAAGTTAAAAATAACTGAAATTCATGTTTAAAAACTAACAACTATAAAGCAAAGTTTGATTTGTTTTTTTTTACTTTGTTTTTTTTTGCTTAGGTTATACAGACTTGAGAGAGATGGACTATTTTGTAGATATCCTCAGTCAATCAATTATTCTGCAGATATCATGACAACAATACAAATTTTTGTAAGATTCCTTATATTTTTACATTTTTGTCATGTCAGTTATACTGAAAACAACCATTGCCATGGAACATACAGTTGTCTGGAGAATGCAAATATATTGTAGGTGAAGATAATATGACCCCTATTATACCAGACTGTTTTGCTGATCTAGTTAAAACTGACTACGGTGGCTTTCTGGTGTGAACTCAGCTTGCATTCATATTGGATAAAAGTTCTGAGTTTGGTTTTTTATATGCTTTTTGATTCATGACCTAATGAATCAATTCAATGACCTAATAGCTGGTGAGACATCTTGCAAAATTGTGGAGAACATTAATTTATAAATAGTTCCCAATAGTTAAGTAAACCTGAAAATAAATCTTTTTTTGTAATGAGTGAACTGAGGTTTTGGATATATACTTTTCTAAGAATTTATGAATGACATTAGGCTCAAATTATAACCCTAACATCTTTCTGAACTTCTACTAATGACATACTTGCAAAAAGTAGCAACTTTTGATGAAAAGCGAGTTTGTTCCCAAGTTTGCTGAATGCATTTTTTTCTTCCTGGCAAAACTCTTAGCTGTGAACCTTGTTACCTTTTTAGTAGTAGCACATATTTATTAAGGTTCCAATGTATACTTTCAAAGACTGTATAAAGATAAGAAGACAGAATAATTAATCATGATGTCAGATGGGAAGTTGCTGGAAAATACTAACTGTTCCTATTTTAAAGACAGCGAAAGTGAGAAAGCAGTATAAAATGCACCTTCTGTCCAATTCTTTTCGAGACAGAACTAACATTAAAACCACAATTACCAAAAAAAATTAAAGGGAAATATTTTCACTAGCATATTCTCGCTTTTGTGAAATAGAGTATACACATTTCTGAACCATCATTTTTGTTACATTTTATTTTATCATTCTTTCCCAGTTGTCCAAAATGCCACTGCTGAAATCACCTTTCTTTTCTGATGCTCTCACCCACTGAAATATGGTACCCGCACATGCATTCTTCAGCTTCCTTTCCTCCTCTGTATCAATCTTAAATGTTTTTTGTTGTGGTCAGGATTCTACAGAGATTTCTACTTAACTTTGTGTTTGTTGTCTCCTGTGTTTCATATCGCCTTCCTTTTTTCAGTTCTTGCTTTTAACAGCCCCTTTCACTTTTGCCAACCCTATTTTGGATTTTTATTCAGGATATGTTTCCTATCTGAAACAATCTTCATGTCAGAATTTATCATGACTGTGAATATTAATTCACTCTGCAGAAGCACTGGTGTACACTGTATGTAATTTGGGATAAGAATTTAGCTGCCTTACGTGCCAGTGAAGTATTATAATGCCTTTTTGCATACTTATAAGATAATGATTCCAAATACTTATTCAAATGTGAACTCCAGTGGTCTACTGTAGTAGCATCTCATAAAAGCTACTGTTAGGTAACTAAAGATTTTGCAAATCTGGAGGATTGTTTTTTTGGTGATGAAGATCATGGGCTCCACCTATGTTATGAGGCAATGACATGTTTATGTTGATATCTGGCTACTGACCTTTTCCCCAGCTGGACCAGCAGCACCTGGGTCCCCAGATGGACCTGCTCGACCTTTTGGGCCTTCTGGACCATCTTCTCCTCGTGGACCTGGCTGACCAACTTCTCCCTAAAATACACCACCTTATAAATATGGAACAATTGCCTTTAGGCATATATTAGAGAGACTACCTACAATTACTTGAAAATAAGTTTTCAGTAAATGTAAACAGAGATTAGAATCAGAGAATAGTTTGGGTTGGAAGGGACCTTTAAATGTCATCTAGTCCAACCCTCCTGCAATGCACAGGGACACTTTCAACTACATCAGGTTTCTCAAAGCCCTCCCCAATTTCAATTAGGAAAATACCACTGCTTAAGTTCATCATATAAATGCAAATACATAAAAATTAGGCACTGAATATTACTTTCACAAGTGTAATAGTCCAGTTGCCTTGCCTGAAGACAGATGCATTTGAAAACTGTGTATCCTTATTTTTCCTTCCCTAAATTCTTTGAAGACTCTTTGACAGTCCGAAGAAAGAAAAACATCTGTATTGAAGTACTTATGTGGATACCATCTTGGCAGTTATTTAAGTATACAGGCAGCAGATACAAGCCAGGAGCCTCTTGTGAGAAGTTATTTTAGAACCTCCGCAACACTTCCTATGAAAGGAATTAAGTGCCCATTGGGCTAAACAAACAACGTTTCGGCAGAGATTTGCAAGATGTTAGGTTGGAATGGAAGTATCTTTATCCCGGACAGATTAATTTTCCTCAGTCAAATACTGGAGATCTTGGAATCTGGAAAAGGAGATTCCTTAGGAAGAAGCTTACTGAAAAGGATATCCAAAACTGACATTCTCTTCCTCTTTATAACTGTGCCATTATTGATTCACAAGAACCAAATCTCTGGCTCAAATCTGTGCATGCACAGGGAATAGAAATCATTTAAGCTACTAGCTGTTATTTCATTTTTGGTTTAAATTTAGTTGTTCACTTTGTTACTTTCAAAATAATAACACTTAAACTTTTTAAGAATATATCAGCTATGAATAGATGCTTACCCGGTCACCTTTAAGGCCCATGTCACCTTTAAATCCTGGAAAACCATCTTCACCCTAAAAAAGGCAGAAATGCATGTAGCAACTTTTAGCAATAAAGAGGATTTGTTTTTCTGCAGACAGAATAAGAAAATACATTCACTACAGATTAAAATAATTTGCATAGATCAAGTGAGAACTTCAGACAGCAAAAAAATCTAATATGGCTACTGCTATTTTAGAGAAAGTATATCAGTGCACTATACAAAATAATTGTTTAGTTTGAAAGTTCATAATAACAGCTGTTTAAAGCTGTTTAAAATCTGTTTAAAGACAGAGACAATATAATTCTTCTGTTTTATTATGAATTATCTTGTAAAGTCCTTTCCTAATGCCTAAGCTTTTTTTCACTTTTTGATAAGGCCATCCATTCAATTAAATAAAAAATTGGTGGCAAATTATTCAGTGTTATTGTTATTGGTAGCAGAACCTCCCTTTTAATTAATTTTTCTTTTAAATTAGTGTCTTAATAGTATCATGAAAGGAATAAAAATATAGACGGCTGGTTGTGACATTTTAATAAAAAAAAGAAGACATATTAATGCTCATAACCTAAAAGAAGAAATACTAATTTCTATACAGTAGTTCAATGACTGGCAATACTCAGCCCTGCCTACTCTTACTGGCTGATGTGCTGAAAGAAAGTAGAAAAACCAATGGATATTAAGATTGAACCCATATACAGTGGCAAAACAAGTGCACATTACTGTTATTCCTAGTGAGAACTACTTATTTACTGCCTAGTAAATTCTGGCAGAGAATTTACTCCAAGCATTTTAATAGGTGTCCATGCTGGAGTATGAGAAAACAGTACTCAGACAAATTTCATTTACATCTGTATGAGTTAATTCAGATACAAACAAATCTCCAGAGTTGTTCGGTCGAGTTGTTCACGACTTGGTCTAACATCACTGATCAGCTTTTGGTTCCCTCTTTCTTAATTTAAATCATCATACAACTACTGTTCCAATATCTGCACAACAAAGATTATTGACTGCATTTTTATCTGATGCTTAGTTATATCCTGGGAGGAAATGTCTTTGTGATGAATGACCACACAATAAAATGTTTTACTATGACGCTGTTAGGTTTTTTTATATGCTGAAGCAATATTGCTGACTTAGAATCACAGAGAGTAATATTTGGACTGTCAATAAAGCCAGGAAAGAATGATACTGTGCTCCACATTACTGAAAAAAAAAACAAGAAAGGTTTTCTATTTCATCCTCACTTTGAAAACAAAGTTTGCACTTTGCACTCCTGGGCCCACAAAAGCCTTATCTCTTCTCCTTAAGCAGCAACTGAGACAGATTGCAAGGCTAAAGCCATTTTGACTCTGTTCAGAAGTAGTCATGCTGCATGCAACAAATAACCCTAGAAAGGGTGATACAAATAAATTTGCTAGTGATAAACAGCTCAAAATAGGCGAGGAGACATTAAAATTTAAAAAAAAGTAATCAAACAAGCAAATACAGTTTCTCAATAGTATGTGTTCATGTTAAAAAAGATGAGTGTCCTGGTTTCAGCTGGGATAGAGTTAATTTTCTGCCTAATAGCTGGTATAGTGCTGTGTTTTGGATTTAGTATGAGAATAATGTTAACAACACACTGATGTTTTCAGTTGTTGCTAAGTAGTTGTAGTGCTTATACTAAGTCAAGGACTTTTCATCTTCCCATGCTCTGCCAGCGGGAAGGGACACAAGGAGCTGGGAGGGGGCACAGCCAGGACAGCTGACCCAGGCTGGCCAAAGAGATATTCCCACAAAATGTCATTCTCAGTATCGAAACTGGAGTTGGCCAGCAGCCGGGAACGGCTGCTGAGGGATGAGCTATCAATCACCGGGTGGTGAGCAATTGTTGCATTGTGGATCACATGGTTTTGTATACTCCTTTATCAGGTTTTATTGGTTTGTTGGGGTTTTTTTCTTCCTTTGCTGTCCTATTAATCTATTTTTATCTCAATCCATGATTTTTTTTCCAATTCTCTCCCCCATCCCACCTCGGGGTGGGGGGTGAGCGGAGGGATGAGCTATCAATCACCGGGTGGTGAGCAATTGTTGCATTGTGGATCACATGGTTTTGTATACTCCTTTATCAGGTTTTATTGGTTTGTTGGGGTTTTTTTCTTCCTTTGCTGTCCTATTAATCTATTTTTATCTCAATCCATGATTTTTTTTCCAATTCTCTCCCCCATCCCACCTCGGGGTGGGGGGTGAGCGAGCAAGTGGCTGCATTGTGCTTAGTTGCTGGCTGGGGCTAAACCACAACGAGGTAACCCATTGTGATTAATTTTTAAAAATATACTAAAAAACATTCTAAAAGCAGGTTTCCCATGCTTTCCGGATGGTGAAACTAAGCTTTATATGGTCATCTTATATTGCATAAATTAAAATATAAGGTGGAATATAAGGTGGTCTTTCTTAAAATTTAGAAAGAGGTGAAAAGGCTAGAGTTCAGAACGCATGGAAAAAAGCTTTAGCTGTAAAAGTTGCTCAGTTATGGCCATGGACAGTAATAATTATATGAGAAAACTTTGCAATATATCATCAAGGACTGATTATGTGCCAACTGCTGACCAAGAAGCTGCCAAATGAACTGAAACTCTTCTTCAGCTTTCACAGTGAGGTTCCAGCTATTGAGATCTACAAGAGGTTGATTTTATTCCATGTAGGAGGAGAGAGCTGAATGCTCTATTTCTTCTTCTGCTGTTAACAAAAAATAAAATAGCTAAAGAGTTCTAGTCACATTTACTGGTCAGCACAGAGACAGATCTCCTCTGATATCCCTGGGATCCTTTCAGCTCTACAGAGGCTTTCCTGAATGATCAGTTTATTTATTTCTGTCTCTTACAGTGCTTTCCCCCATGTATTGGCATCTGAATAATTTCAGTAGAAAAGGCCTGTGTAAGAGACCTTTAAAGCACTGTGAGGGCAATCTGTGAAATATCTGTGTGACCTTTTGAGGTATTCAGTAGAGTTCAGTGTCTTACTGCAACTGTGAGATCAATTTTTGGGAACACAGAAATATTGTGGAGATTATGCTAATTAGTATTCATTGATACACACATATATACACACACATATGTTAAGCTTATTTATATGCGAGTCCTGTATTTTGTCCTAGCTGGATATTAATCATTCAATAAGGCACAATAAAATCTAGTTTTTTGAACCATCCAGTCTCCACAGGTATTAAACACACTGTTTTTCAGCTTAGTTTTAATGAGCAACTCTAAAATGAGACTCTAAATGCAACTCTAAAGAGCAACTCTAAATGCAGTCTAGACAAACTGTGGTTTAGGAAAGCCTGAAAATGTACAGCATCTCTTGGCATTTGAGCCTGAAAGACAGATGTCTAATGCTGAAATAAATTTTTTTTTGCAAAAGTGAGTCTTCTGCTTTAAAAATAGCTATAAATATATACACAGTAGCCACCAGAGTCACAAGGCTGAATTGTCCAGTGTGGTCAGGAGGTATGAGTGATGATGTTTGTTATCTGCCTCTCACTGCGAGTGCTGAGGAAAGTGGGAATTTAAACCAATACTGGCTTTGGTTTCAGCCACTGCAGACCATCAGAAGACAGTGGAGATCGTAGTAGTTGGTGTTTGCTCTTGTGAGAACTCTACATACAGAATTAATGATATCAGGGGGATGTGAAACCTTTCTTCATGTTCGTATATGTGCATCTGACTGGGGCTGTCCATCACTTTGGCAAAGCCAAAGATCTGCGACAAAAATACCTGGAACCCAGAAAGCCATTGGAAGATGTACACAAAAAATACAAAATCTACCCTACAGCACTATCAAAACCAGATAAAATAATACTATTATCACCACAAATCTCTGTGATGCACAAGCTTCTCAGTATCCACTACAGTATCTATTAACGAGAGCGGGGATGTCTAATTCTCTGCTTAAGAGTGCCTTAGAGAGAAGTTACTTAAACTGGTGTGAACGGGATCCAAACCCATTCTAATAACTGAAGAGTTTACATGCAGTTTGTACCAGTGTAAATAACCATGGAGGTCACCAATTTATGAATTGGGCTTGGTATTTCCTTAGGGTAAGGCAAAAATAAACCCACTGCTGCAACAGACAACACACTGCAGTGAAGGACACAGAAGATGTTTCAGTGAAGTAACAAACACAGAAAAATGGAAAACAATTAAATGCAGTCAAATTTACCTTTTCACCTTTGGATCCCTTGAGACCACGGACACCATCAGCTCCCTAAAGAAAGAATATAAAGAATTACCCACATGCATATATTCAAAAAATGGTGCGGAGAGGGATCTAGTAATTAAATCTTACCTTTACACCACGAGGACCTGGATAGCCAATGGGACCCTGAGGACCTGGAGGTCCCTAAAAAATATTAAAGAACCTTTGTTTGTACAGTACTTGGTTAGTAAGCAGTTCTCTTCTGAGTCTAATTCTTGTTCTTTCACTATAATGCAGCAGTCTTGTTTAAGACATCAAAATAACACGGGGCTGCCTGCCACCAAGAAAAGTCATGGCATCATAAAGCACCCTTCAATGTCACTATAAAGCTATTAATAAAATTATGAACTTGGTTCTACTTGTGTATTTGTGAAACATCTATGCACAATATAAATTATGAAACATTGGCAATGTTTCATAAAAACATTGTGAAACAATGGCAATTGGAAAATGTAACAAACAAATAAACAAAAACAAACAAAAAGATGCCAATTAGAAACCAGTGGTGTCTTACTGGAGAAAATTTATATGTTAATTATGATGACACAAGTCAAAAGTAGACATCAAAATAATGATAATAAAAATTAAGGTCTTTAAAAAAAAAAAGATTCCAAACCTAAAAGCTAAAAGGCTCATGGTGCTATCAATACTGACTGGCGTCTGGATACTGTTGTTTACTGTTTGCTGAGCATTTTAAAGATGCTTAATTTTGACACTATGCAATCCTCTAGCATTGTCTAAAGAAACTGAGTTCTGCAACCAGTCAAAGCACAGAAGCCTGGAAACATACATATCTCTGTCTGAAGCTGAGCTGCTTTGTTGAGTCTCTGATGTCTGAGATGGACAGAAAACAAAGTCTTTCCCTGATGAGGCCATTGATAAGGTCTTTTTCCCCTTTCCAGCTGTGACTTTTCACAAAACCCTTAGACTGTTAACATCTCTGAGAAATAAAATTTTCTATCAAATTTGGAAGAAATTGATCAGTAAATTCAAAAGGCATAAGGAACAACTGACAGGTTATTGTACCTGTACCTTCAAAACATAAATGCTCTGTGTACGCTGTATTTTCTTAAGAAAATAGGATAAAATTTAGGATAAAATCTACAATTCAGGGTCAAACCTACAAGCCTCCAACAGGTAACAACATTTTGGACAAATAGTAATATGCTGGTGTCAGTGGAATTGTACTTTCTGAAATGTCCTATTCATTCACTCATTCATCCATCCTATTTATCCAGAATATAACCTTTTAGTATTGCCACTGAAATCAGTACTGCAACTGAAACTGATTTCAGGTGCTATGAAGGGCATAAATATATATATTATATATACATATGTTATACTCTGCATAAATAAGGGTCAATATTGAGCAAGCGGAATGCTTTAAAGAGCCCCAAGAGCCTTCAGTGCTTCGTAAAGAAATAAAGAAATTACTTTTCATTGTTACTGACTTGAAGGTGACCTAAAAAATACAATGAGTATGAATGCATTTCTAAATCTTAGAAAACAAGCTTCTGAAGAACCCTACTGGGTAATCCATACAATGGAATTGTAACCTCAAAACTATTTGCAAATTATCTATATGAAATGTATGCAACTTTTATTGATAGCCATTCTGTGAACTCCACAATCAGTTTTACTTTAAAAGAGTAATTTCTGTACTATTTAGAATCTTTATAATATTTAGGATATAATAAATACGTTTGTCTACACACAGATGCTTTGAAAGTGTTGTGAGTTTTCGATTATCTTCCTAAATAGTTATTGGAGCAACAAATGTGTCATAAAGCTGAAAAACTGCTAAAGGTTTTCTTGAAAGCTATGTAAATAAATTGAAAAGTTTTAGAACTCACCAATGCACCTTTATCTCCAGACTGACCCTCTTTGCCAGGATGACCCTGATTTAAGAAAAATGTATCTGATTTGGAAAATACTCATTTTTCAGTAGTGATATTTTATTATAAAAACGATATTTATTTAAACACTTGAATTTCAGGTCACTAAATCACACTTCTTCTGTATTAGAACACACACACACACAAAATATTGAGGAAAGATTTTCCTTTCAATATCGATTTACAGAACAAAGGAAAAGATGGACAATAGTTATGTTAATGCCAATGTTTTTTAAAATGTCCCGATCACCTCTTCTGTTTAGTTAATGTTTCAGCAGTAAGAGGTTTTTAATGAAAGACACTCTCAAATTTGATTTTGAAACAAGCAGAGTGATTAATATAACTTAAGGATGTCTTCATGCTGTAATCTAAAAGATTATGGAATTTATTGCAGAAGCCAACAGAAGGCTGATCTAGTTTTAGACATTCTATGCCTTTGTTTTAAACTGTGACTTGCTTTTAAAACAAAATATTTATGTCTTAGTCTTTGTTCTATATGACTGACGTTAATACTATAGCACTCAAAACACTAACCTATCCATTGTTTTTCTTTCTCACAAAATTTACACTAAAATGCTGCAAAAATTTAAAGGCAAATTAATGAAATGAAGGGTTAATAGAAGATTCTTGTTTATGAGAATCAGCCAGGAGAATCCTTTTTCTGTTGATGTTCATCAGTCTTATTAGAGGAGCATAGTAAATCTCTAGCTTTGCCAAGCATGTAGTCCCACATAACATGTAGCCAGTACTAAAACCATTCATGCTTTGGTGTCATTGACATCCCAAAATATTTTCAGTATGTCAAATATGATATGACTTTGATATGGCTATTAAACTTGTACGACAAACCCCTGGTGCTTATATTCAATTTTATATTCAATGTTCTTTATTAAAAGAATTATTAAAATAAAAAGTATTTGATACTTGCTTACCAGGGATTGTTAATTTTTCTTTAAAGAGTTTGTCTTACTAACAGTGAATATTTGCTATCAGTTTTTTAAAACGTACATATGCCAGTTGTTTAATTCTAATCTCCAAGAATATGCTTTCTTCTGTACAAAATTTTAAATCTCCATCCAGTACCAGAGGTCTCTATAACATTAAATGACTTTAAAAATGCTGCTATTAAAGAGCATATTTGTATCCCTTAAGATTTCCATTAATTCCAGTATAATATACCACTTTTAACAATGTCTCGCCTTCAAAATCAAGGACATTTCCTCACATAGAAGTAAAATGAAGTAGCATAGCAAGAATTTTCCTGATCTCCTGAAAAAATCCTCTTGAGCTTTCACTTGACCTTAATACAGATATCATAGGAGCAGTTACAAAGCTTATTGCCTTCAATCACTACTGTAATTCTATGGATGTAAATAGGTCATGCCAATTGGAATGGACTTAGTTTAACCTGCCTCTCCTGCCCTTCCTCTGAACAAACCTACTCGTGCATGTGGGAGATAATTTTGGGTAGGTATACTGGGTCTGGCTGGGATGAAGTTAATTTTCTTCATAGCAGCCCATATGGTGCTGTGTTTCGGATTTGTGACTAAAACTGTATTGCTAACACACCAGGGTTTTGGCTATTGCTGAACAGTTCTTGTACAGTGTGCAGGTTTTCTCTTTGTCCCATTCTAAGCCCTTAGAAGGCTGGGGGTGGGCAAGAAGCTGGGAGGCGACACAGCTGGGACAGCTGTCCCAAATTGACCAGAGGGATATTCCATACCATATGATGTCATACTTAGTATAAAAGCTCAGGGAAAGGAGCAAGAAGAGGGAGTTCATGGTTATGGTGTTTGTCTTCACAAGTTACGCTCACATGTGCTGAAGCCCAACTTTCCAGCAAGTGGCTAGCCACCTGCCTGCAAGTTGGAAGTAGTGAATTAATTCCTCATTTTGGTTTGCTTGTGTGTATAGCTTTGCTCTACTTATTAAGCTGTTTTTACCTCAACCCATGAGTTTTCTTGCTTTTGATCTTCTGATTCTCTCCCTCACCCCCCTGTAGAAGGAGTGAGTGAGCTGGGTGCTTAGCTACTGACTGGGGTCCACCCACCACAGTAGGGATGTGTATCAGGTACAGACCTGTGCTAGCACCTCATTATCTCTTACAGTATTTCCCCCCTGCTTTTAAGGTTAACAAGATGCAGAATTTAAAATAATGCTTATGTTTGGAAATTAATATTGTTCCCAGCATGCAGAAAAGGATAAGGGGGAAAGTTCAGATGTTTAGACAATGATTCAAGATATAGAATTCCAGCTGGACTGTCATTGCATATTTAATATTCTCCGTGAAAATGGTATTTTGGCAGGTAAAAGGGATATTGTGACAGCCCTGGGTACAATTCTGTATTTGTAATATAAGCATCTATGCAGTGAAACCCCTGCCGTCAGTTCTGTTGTTCTTATCCTAGCAAAACCCGGTTGAAAGTCAGGTTTAAAAGATGCAGATTTAAGGTAAAAGAAAAATTGTAAGGGAAAATGACATGGGGAGGAGGGAGATGGTCTGAGAAGGCACACTGGCTGTTTAATGGCTGTTGGTGGTGTAAAAATATTATGGTTTTGATGCAAGAAAACTAGTGTATATGAATGTCATTATGAACAATGATTCCATTTAATGAAATTTAATTAATAACTAAATTTAATTCCATTCCAAGCATGAACTGTAAGCAATGCTACTGAGGTGGTTACACTCTGTGTTCACATGAGTGAATTCATACTCAGAGTTAAGCTGGATTCCTTAGCGATCGCAAGATTCTAAAGTTTGCTTTAGGTCTGTCCCAGTGCAGACAATGAAAGAAGCCCAAACATAATATGCACCTTAGGTCAGGACGCAGAGAACATCTAGTCTATTTTATGTTTCTTCAGAAAAAAAGTGGTGAGCATTTTTACAGATGATTTGCTTTGCCATACTGACATAGTAAGACTACAGTGAAACAGTATCTGGCCCTTTGTGTGTCAGTTAGATTATTTACACATCCCTGCAGATGTTTCAGATACATTTCATCATGTGGGACCACATTTTAAAAGCCCACAGCCATTTTTAGCAGCTGCTTCAAAAATGTAATTTTCTTAGTTTTAACAGCTCAAATGATATGGGGGTTTTAGATGGATTTTATAATGCTGTTGCCAACTAGGACTACCAGTGCTTTTACTCTCCATTTTCCCTTTGCAACACAAGTATCTAGAAATATTTATTACTTGGTAAAAGTATTTTAACATTCCAGGCATGAAATATTTGGTTACTTACAGGAGGCCCATCAGCACCAGGAAGGCCAGGAAGGCCAGGCTTGCCTTGAGGTCCCTAAATGCAGTAACAGAGACACATCTTAAGAACAATAGCGAACATTCTATCATTTGCTAGGATGATCGAAGATCATCTTTTCTGAGGACTGGTATGTCCTAAACCAGCAAACTACCTTAAATCTTTTTAGTATTTTAAACTCCGTTAAAACAACTGGTGAACCCACCCAGGGTGAAAAATAGCTATAAGAAAAATAATAATAATTAAAAAAACCCACCAAACAACAGGAAAGAAAAAGAAAAAAAAAATCCCACCCATATCCAATACATTTAACTCTAATTGCTAAGGTTATAAAATGTAGTTATACCTAAATTCCTTGATATTGATATCAGGGATAATCCAAAAATATAACAAAACTGAACCCAGAAAGATACTATCATACAACTTATGGAGCAAGGCCAGTTCCTACAATCTTTAGCCAGTACAAATCACCCATATTTTTCAATGAGGTGCTTGCCTGAGAACAGGCTTTAGGAATTACCCTATGAACATGCCCACACACACAACACAAAGTGGGGAAGAATTCCCCAGTGTACAAAATTAACTATCATTTAGAATTTAATGAATAAAAGGATGGACCATATGAAAGATACCAATAAGATCACAAGGCAAAGAGTACAGGTTACAGAACCCTGGCGCTCATAGCTGAAAGGCATGGTACATCTTTGTGAAAGCCTCTGAAATGCGTATTTTGTGGACCTAGCCCATTTTGCTAGAATAAGAGTCACACAGGTAAAAAGCATGTATATTGTTTCCTAAAATCTCCTTCAATTTCTCCTAAAGTATATACTAAACAGTGAAGGGGAGCAAAATCAAAGAAAAATCAATAGAGCAAGAATTCAGTAAAAAGGAGAGAAAAGTAAAATTAGTGTAAAATTCAATAGTGACATTTTTTAAATTAACAGAAGACATATTTCAAGCCACAAGAACATGTACAAACAGGTAGATCAGGAAAAAACAAGTGACACTACAGTATGCCTATTACACTGCAGAGTTATGTTCAAAATATAATCCTTGAAAAAACAGAACAGAATCAGACTTGAGTAGGTAGAACTTTGTTATAAAAAAAGAGATAAATAAAAATAATTTTCACAGCTTGCTGTGAAATTAATTAACATACAAATACACTGTTTAATATTGTAGATGGGATTCTGACGCTTATAACAGAAAATTAATCCAAAATAAAGGGAAGAAATTATGCTTGTGAAAAAGTGTATGTGAGAGGAAAGCCAGGCCTTCAGTGGTTATTCATTTACTTGATAATTTCAGGAAGATCTGCTAAATTTTAGATCTTGGGTTACTATTCTGTAAAACATAGCACAGCCCTTAAGGACATAAGCAAGGTTGTTGCACAGAACTGACTGTGAAGTACCAGAATAATGCTGTAACTTACCTTTTCACCAGGAGGTCCAATAGGACCTTGTGGACCAGGAAGCCCCTATTAAAAAGAAACCAGTGTGAGAAACCAGGGAGAACAATATACATACATTCACCCTGCTAAAGGTCCCTCATTAATCTGTTTAAACACACCGACAAATATAAGTGGCTTTTTTTCCCCCCTTATGAGTTAGATCAGGAGTTTTGTGTGAGCCTTTTGCACAAGCAAAAAATTCTGGCAGTAGGTCTGTAACAAGATCCTATTCAGAACCCTCCTCCAGGTGTGGCCGTTCTTGCTGCCTTCCAGAAACACTGAATGAGTCATTTTTCTCCTGAATGAAAAATCCCCCTGAAAGCTTACTTGAAAACTCTGCTCCCACTGCCCTTTGCACATTTGCAGCATTATTTATAAAATCCTTGAAGCTTTATCAGTTTTGCACATGAAAAAGCTAACCTTTTAGTAATTTCCATTTATTAAACATTGTAGCACATTACATTGTATTTCTTGAGAGTTATTTTACACTTACTTGTGGGCCTGGGATTCCTTGCTGACCAGGAGGTCCTGGCTCCCCTTGAGGACCCTACCATGCAAAAAATACCAGGGCGTTAGGTTTGCATTTCTGCACTACAGATCTTCATTGTCAGGACTAAAAGGAATACAAACTCATCTTTGTTCCTCCCTCTTTAAAGTCTACCACCAACTTTCTATCCAGTATGATATTTTTTTATGCCAATGAATATCATGGCCTTTTCTTTAATAGAGATTAACAGCCTACACATAGGACCTAAGCACTGGAGTCCATGGTGCTAAAGGAGCTTGAAAGAAAGCATGGTTAGGCCCTTTGGCTGAAAAGTAAGTAACATCTCTTTTCTAAGTGAGATGATAATAAATCTGAATATTTTAACAGAAAAGTTTAATTACATGGAAGGGATGGCATAGTGGCAGGGAGGAGACAATGTAGAAAGGATTCTTAGAATCCACTCCCTTTTTAATTCCCATCTTTCGTACTCACCATGTTTCCTTTTGGGCCTGAAGGTCCATCAACACCTGCGATGCCCTACAACAAACAATATAAACATGAACAATTTTCAGTGGACCTCCATGTTTCTTTTGGAAATGCAAATACAAAACAGTCCATACGTACAGGTTGTCCAGGGGGACCAGGTGTACCTCTGGGGCCCAGTAATCCCCGTGGACCCTGTGACAGAAAAAGCACTTATTAACACCTGCATGATTTTTTCTGAACAAAGAGAGACCCAGCAGCAGGACTGGGCAAGGAATGCCATAAGGAGTACAAAGGATGACGGAAAGAGAGCATGGGGCTTGAGGGAGAAAGGAAGGAAAAAAGGAAAAAAATCACTGATAACAGATTCTTCTGAAGGCCACCATACATCTGAACAGGATGTCAGTGGAAGGGCAAGCTTTGATTTAGCTGCTGTATGGTCATTTCAGAGAACAGTAGGAGATAACTATCTATATTTCATGGTGCAGAACACTGGCACAGCATCTTCCACTAACGTTTCAGCTGTGTCTTGGCCTGAAGGTCTGACCCGAATAGTAGTATACGTGTTTGTATTCATGTTTTTAAAAAATGTGATGGTCTGTCATAATCTATACCACTATTCTAAGTGTAATACAGTGCTTTTATGCATAATAAAAAGCCAATAAATAATGAAAAATTACAAATAATTTTATTATAATAAATGCAAGGCATTCTGGAAACAATCAGATTTGTTCCTCTTACCCCTAAAAAATTCCACAAAAGACCAAGGGCTATTCTCCTAAATAAGGTGAGCAAGATTTGGTCTATAACATCATCTTTTGGCTTTATACTGTGTAAATGAGTATTAGTTTTCATCATTTGTGTCATCATTCATGTCACACTGATAAAAGTAGGCAGGACTGAGTCTCCAGTCTCCTCATGTATGATACAGTCACAAATCACTAACTCTGACTCTGTAGTAACTTCTTCCTACTTTGCGAGTAGGCAACAGTATATCATACATTTAGGGTAAAATTCCCCTTTCTGAGGCTTGATTTCTTGCCTGCAATGCAGAACTCTGCTCTGCAGTGGTAGCACTTGCAGAACTCCAGCTGACAGCAATGGAAATTCTGTATATGAAACAAGTGTAAAAATACATAATGAAGCACAGTAGTGTGAAAAGAGGAGAAGCCAGGCCTTATTTTCTAATAAACAGATGTTTGGAAAACCTTCTCAAAGCAACAGGGGCTTGGTTGTATTCTCATGTATCCAGGACTGCAGTGACTGTTTTTACACAATAGGATTGGAAATAGCCTTTGTGATTCTGGAAGTTGTGTGTTCTTGGCTGGATGTATCCCTGACTTCATTCTAATCCTGTAAGTAGTGTTTCACGCTGAACAAAACTGTTCATTTGTTTGCTTTTCAGCCAGAATTGGTACTCTCTATATACACACACACAGAGTAATTTTTATACCTGGAATTCAGAACAGTTCAATAGAAAGGAAAAAAATCTGAGAATGACTTTTGTTTGTAACAGAAACAGAAGAATAAGAAAGCATTGCTTACAGCTTCACCTGGGAGACCTCTTGGTCCAACTTCCCCATCTTCTCCCTGGTTTTGTACAAAGGGAATAGTAGTTTTAGTAAAAAAGAGAATGTATCATGACCATATTCCTATTACATGAGGATTCACTCTAAATTTTACTGTGTAGATAGCAACTTACTCTTGATCCATCTTCGCCAGGTAAGCCAGGAGGTCCCTGTGGGCCACGGTCTCCCTGTAGAATAAGGAAAATCATTAAAATAATACATCTGTTGCTGGAAACAGTAATGGATGGGAAGGGAAATGAAAACAAATGTGTTAGCTACAGTCTGATGTGTCAAAACATGTCTTGACACAATAATATAAATCTGCAGGTTATAGTACTCAGTAAAGTTTTTTATTACATTTGTGTAAAAACAAATGAATGTTACTGAAACAATGAACTATTTGTGTTGGTAGAATCTCACTCTCTAACTTTTCTTGGCCCCTAAACCGTATACAAACTTGCTACAAAAAGCAGAGTTACCCACATTTTTCTTTGTCTCATCAGCACCTTCCCCCTTCCCCTACACAATGTATTACTGCCAGTAAAATAAGGCATATGTACATGGGTCAGAAGCTAATAAACTAATTCTGGGCCCTGGAATATACATGGTGAATTGCACTGACCACCTTTCAGAACCATGTACCCTGGCACCAGTCATTGAAAGCCTTGGGCCTGATTTGTCTGAGGCTTTGGAAGGCAGCCAGACTTCCACACTTCCCCTTAGAGGCCGGGGCTTTTCAAGTCTATATATGCAGAGCCTCAGTAGATTCTGGACCATACTTTTAGGATTTATTTTTCTTTCCCCATTTCTAAAGAGAACTAGTGTGCCGCATAACTCAAACACCACTGACTGACCTCTTTCTGGGCAGCAGGTTTTTAGACTGTGACTTCCTTCTGGCATTGGACAACAACCAAGTATTCATGCTGTTTTCCTTAATTTTATCAGTGTCTCCAAGGAGCCTGACCACTGCTGTGTACCCTAGCAGAGATATATGGAGTCACTCTTTAGTGGCTCCATTCTTTACTCTTTCAAACTTTCCTAGGGATTTTAGGTAACTTGCTCTCTTACCCCAGAGCTATCTAATATTAGGGATGTGAGGATTTTATTCTACTGCCTTTCTGTACTCTGTAAGTTGGAGTTGGCATGAGAGGGAATGAAATTCTCTGAACTGCACTTTCATACCTGTAAATGAATCAATGCAGCAATTTTTATATTTTGCTAAGTTTTGGAACTACTCAGTGTGATCTTCTGGTAGAGCATGCATTTTTCTACATGATAAATGACACTCCTGAAAAATGACACAAGACACATGATCTCTGCTCTAGCTTCCACTTAATATCCAAGTCAAGACTGACTTAAGCTTTCAAATACTGAAATAGTTCATCCCCTCAAGGGCTACTTTTCTTGCCTTGCAGTAACATGGCACTTACAGTTAGATTAGGAGCTTGCATTCAGTGTCCTAGTATTGCCATGCAGTAAGAACAAGACTCCCTATCATTATTAGCATTCTCAGTTCTTCAATTCTTCAATTCTTTCCTTCAAATGTTCTGTTGAAACCTGAATTTTTCCTTAGACCTTTTCTTCTAGTGTATAGTGTCTTGCTTTTATATGGAGATGGGTTATGCATCTAGTAAATCTAAGTAAGAAAAGTTCAAAGCCATAGATATTGAGGCTAAACGGAATATTACACCACGTGGTCTGATGTCCCCTACTTTGGAAGTCAGAGAATCTCTTTCAGTAACTCCTGTCTGACAACTTGTGTTTGACAGAGGCATAACCTCAGAGAGGCATCCAATTTGCAACTCATAGTTCAAATATGACTAATTCTAAAAGTAGTCCTAAAACTTCTGCTCTAAAGTTACGGGTTTTCAACAACAATTCCCTTACAGTCAAAAGATAACTACAACAGAAAAAGTGTTTCTCGACTTTCTGTGCTCTTTATTGCAGGCCAAACAGAACTGAATATTTGCATTATATGCTGTCAGTATATATAAATCTGAAGAGTTTTAGTTATCTGATCTGGCTTTGAATTGTGTTCCTTTCAGAAAGATCATGGTTTATACTTTTATAGAAGATTTCCATAGAAATGCGAGAATGCAGCAATATTTAAGTAGTGGGATGAAAGAAATTATGAAAAGAAGTCATTATTTTTGTTACTACTTTGCAAATTACAATCCAAACTTATTCTTCTATTTTAGTTTGCATTTGTTTAGGAAATATGAAACAAATAGTATATTTGAAAAAAACAGGTTTTTTCTTTATGACTTCGAAGGTCCCCCAGATAGACAATTCCAGCATTCCGGGTTGGAAGGCAGAGAGATTCCCTGGCTGACCAGTGTCCGCTCAGCATGCCGCGGGAAGCAGTGGCAAGAGCTTAAAGTCTAGCGCCCTCTGCGGGTCACCTGCCGATGGAGCTGCGTTCCCGTCCTGTCGTGCCCTGATCCCTTTACACGCTTTAAGTAAAAGGGAATGATGAAAGAGGATCAAGACATTTCTGTATGACACCAAAAGTTCTTTTCCCATTGCAAACAGAACTCCAAAGAGTATCCTTAGATGCTGTTACAAAAAACTACATTATGGGCAAGCAGCCAACACAGCTGAGATTTCCTGGGAAGGGCAGCAACTGTGCTGACCCATTGAAGGGTGAGAGCTGTAGTCATTCCTTGGTCATCAAGCTTTAGCACATATGGGAATGGTTCTGTTGACATTCCTACTCACTTTTTATTTTATGGTGCACTGCACTTACCAGAACAACAGTAAGGGAGGTATATTCAGCAGAGTATGTTGTCACTAACATCTACTTTAGGGGTATAATTTAAAGCAGAATCCCCTGTTGTGATTATTTCTAGGAGCAAGTGAATTAGTTGTTTTCAATGTTACTTCAAGTTTTCCTAACTTATCTGACCTGACTGATCTTCCTTTAAGCTGCAGCTGTTGGTATAAGCCACACTAAACAATTTAGTTTGCAACTCAAATATTCAAATTTTTTTAAGCCAGCTTCTCAGCAGGTTAAAATTTGTCATGCTCCTGATAACAGAAACTTCATGTTAACTTCCTTTTTCTATTACTATTTCCTTTAACAGTCACTTCACATCCAACAGACAAATTCCTTAACAAAGAAAAATTAGACCAAAACCTAGCTGAAGATGTGATCTGAATTCTGAAAATATATTTAAATCATTTATCTATATATATGAGTTGTTGCCTGTTGATTGATATTACTAAAATGTTTCATGAGGAACACATTATCTGACAACATAGATATTATTCTGTAGTGTGAGAAGCTGACATTCCATTTTAACTTCCCCCATAATCGTTAGTGCTATTCTAAATGAGTAGTGCATTATTTCTGTGATGGTATCAGTTTGTTGTAGAAATATAGAAGTTTTCCTTACTGTGCTGGTTTTGGCTGGGATGGAGTTAATTTTCTTCATAGTAGCTAGTATGGGGCTGTGTTTTGGATTTGTGTTGAAAACAGTGTTGATAATACAGGGATGTTTTCCATATTGCTGAGCAGTGCTTACATAGAGTCGAGGTCTTTGCTGCTCCTTATCCCACCCTACCAGCAAGTAGGCTGGGGGTGCACAGGAAGCTGGGAGGGGACACAGCTGGGACAGCTGACCTCAACTGACCAGAGGGATATTCCAGACCATATTATGTCAGGCTCAGCATATAAAGCTGAGGCGAAGAAAAGGGAAGCAGGGGACACTCAGTGTTATGGAGTACTACATGTGATGAAGCCCTGCTTTCCTGGAGATGGCTGAACTCCTGCCTGCCGATGGGAAGTGGTTGGATTAATTCCTTGTTTTGCTTTGCTTCTGTGCGTAGCTTTTGCTTTGCCTATTAAACTGTCTTTATCTCAACCCATGAGTTTTCTCACTTTTACTCTTCTGATTCTCTCTCCCATCCCACCAGGGTGGTAGTGAGCAAGCAGCTGTGTGGTGCTTGGTTGCAGGCTGGGGTTAAACCACAACACTTACCCTGTTACCTTTGTCACCAGGGAGGCCAGGAAGACCATCAAATCCTCTGTCACCCTAGGAAAGAAGAAATCACAGCTTTAATAAAGGACTATTACATTCTGTATTACTCTGAAGAAATTGTGCCTTCCCTCTAAAAGTTGATTTCTACCCTTTGTTACATGTACACATTTGTTATTGAATGAAACACATGGAGGGGAGCACATAGATCAAACTCACAAAATTTGCTTCTATTCATTAAAGCAAGAGAAGATGCCACGCTAACTTTTTCACTGTGCTGTAATTATGCTATTTATAAAAAGAAGTACACATTGAAATTAAAACCTTGATTCTAGCTGCACTTTGCAGTTGCAAGGCTGACTTTACCATTGTCGATACTCTAACTAGAAACTGACTCAGAGGGATAGGAATCATGCCCCAAGAATCAAGTTACTTCAAGGTCAGACTACTAGTCATTACTGTTAATTACCATATTTTAAATGGATGATTCATTCTCAGCTCTTGCATCTGACCCAGCTATCTGAAACCTCACTATTTTCACTTGAGAGAAGAACTTTGTGTTGGCTTGAAAGAAACTGTGGTACCTACATAAAATCTGTCTAGCCCATTCCAAGACTGAAATAAAGCCTCAAATCTCATTATTATTTACCTTTGCACCAGGTTCTCCTGGCATTCCTCTGGCACCATCAGCTCCAGGACGTCCCTACAAAAACCCAAAGGGGTAAACATTTGAAAATGCAGTGGAATCAGTTAATATCTAAATATATTTAAACAGAAACTATTTACCCAGAGCAGGATTGATCCATATGCTACCTACCCTTTTGCCAGCTTTTCCACTTGGACCAGGGGCACCTTGAACACCACGAGGACCCTGAATTTAAATAGTGTAATTCTTAGAATCACATTCATGTAGGCAAAAAGCTAGTTAAACATTTCACCTCAAGAACAAGGTTAGATTTTTTTATACACAAAACCGCATTTTTTCCCAGGAGATGGATTCAGGTTTCCAAATTCCCATTAGTTTTAATGGAACATGGACATCCAAACTGGCCTTAGCACTACGAATTTTAACATTAGTTTTCATGAGATGGCAATATACATGGCATAATTGGTCCTTTTAATATTAAAGCTTCTTAGATTCTTTTCATGTCTTTGAAGATCTCAGCCCTGTGATTTGAAAACCCTTCTTCCTCTCATGCCAAAATTATTTTAGTCACATAATAATTATTTAATGAAAAATAGAGACTGCTCATTTCAGGTCCCCAACTAATACACAAACATGAGTTTGCTGGTAAACAGCTCACATGCTATCTTAACTTTACACAGCAGAGTTTTAACTAGAGGGAGACCAAATTACCCCAGACTGAAAAACCTAATTACACTTTTCAAACACATGTAATTTTCACTGATGTGGGCATATATTTCTGCGGAAGTTTTCTCATTCCCATCCAAATGCATCTTCTTCAGGTGAAAATAGCAATGGTAAAGATTAGCCATCCAAAAATACTGAGTAGGAAAAAAACCCAAAACCTAAAAAAGTAAGTAAGGAAACTGGAAGACTGACCAGCTGTTCAGAGTGCTTTTTTGTTTAATTGCTTTATTTTTCTTCTGCAAATATCCATGCGGATTTTTAAGACAGGCACTAAGAATGTAGCAAATCCATGATACCACTTGAGATCTGGCAAAATCATTGTTCCAGAGACTCCTATTGTAATTTCTTTAAGAACCCCCTATTACTTTTAGGTTTAAGCCGCAAGATTTCAATGTGTTTCAGCACTCTTTAACATCACTGCACACGTGCTGATATAATAGTAAGCTAAGATGAAAAGCATGCATTGATTGCTAAAGACTTATTCTTGCTATGTCACATCTTGCTTGAAAATACCCTGTTTAATTACCAACTAAATTCAACCTCTCTCACCTTACGAGATCTGATAAGATCAGAGCCCAAGGTCATACAATTGCAGACTGACATATAATTATTTAATAGAGAAAAGAGCCTGAAGTGACAATATTAAAACACTTTTTTAAGTGATGACATTCTACCTGTGATAATTGCTCTTTGTTATATGAAGATTGTTACTTTCATATTTCAAAATTAACAACCAAGCTATTGCATTTAATTTAGGATACTATTGTAAAAGCTATTTTTTTTCAATTGCATGCAGAAAACATATCATTGATTGATTTCTTCTAAGTGATACAAATGCATTTTCTTAAAGATAAACAAGCTCAAACATAACAGGCAGTATTATTGTACCTGGGGACCTGGTTCACCACTTTCACCCTTAGCACCTGCTGCTCCAGGTCCACCCTTGATGGAAAAAGCAAAACATATTGTTTAAATATACAAACATGTCTTTAAATGAATGTTACTTTCTATTTCTACACATTAATTGCAGGGAGAAAAAACAAACAATCCCCTATTCATTAGGAGGTGTGAATTCACCATTTGAATCTGCAGATATACCCTGGTACATCATTGTCTAGACACTGGGCCTAACTGGGACAAAAATTTTTCTATTACTGAAGAAAATTCCCATTGATTTGAATGAGAACAAATGTAACTCTTTGTTCTATATTAATATTTGAGAGCTAAATATGAGCACAGTAAGAACAGAAGTGCATCCTCTGTAGGGAAGGCAACAGAAATGAAAGCCACCTCTTTTTACCTTTATGTATTTCTGTGTTGTACAGAAAATAATGGAGTCTTGGAGTTCGATCCCAAAATCACTATAGTCAATGAAAAATACCCTCTCTAATCGTGTAATGAACTTCAGTGATGTTTTAATCAAGGTCTTTGTGCATCTGTCCCTAAAGAAGTGGAAAATCTATACATCTGAATCTCTTTACTATCATTAAATGATGATACAGATTTTCTGATAAGTTTTACTCATAAACAGACCTAATCCAGATCTTCATCCAGGGTAAGATACTGTACATGGAATTTGAGGCAGAACTAGTCAAAGTTTGTGTTTTCTTAATAGTGGTCTCACAAAAATAGACAAAGTAAAACAAAAAATATCAACATGCTCACACAGAATACAAGCTCAGGGAAGGAACATACTAGAGTTTGCTATTACAGGCAAAATAATCTTTGCATTTCTGATCTCTGAAACAGGTCATGACCAAATGTATGTACTTAATATGAAACGAATGTTGCAGACCTTGGACAATTGGTAATCCTCCTATATTCACCATAGTGATCATTCAAAGAAAGAAGTGGTCTCATGGCTTGGCTTAGTGCTGAGTCTAGC